TAAGATTGAACATGTCGTTGGTTAAATTATTGTAGCTTTATAAATATTAAAAAATTTAATTATAGTATGGAATCCGGGAACCAAACCGAATCGAATAGAATGGAACTGAACGGTTCCAAAATTAAATTAGGATCAAACGGTTCCACTTACTAAATATCCGAAAATTTTGGTTTCCGAACTGATCCGGACCTTGTCCATCCCTAACAAAAAGTTCGATATCTAAAGAAGAAGCCAAAAGTGATATGCACTTGATTGTGTAGATATTGCAATCTCTCATGCAATATAATTGGCAAATATAAATAACATACATAGAAAGAACAATAGAAATGTTAAAAAGGAATTATTATGCATTGTTTTGTTGCGGAACATCTTCGTGTCGACGGCATGTGAACTGCCTTTATGGAATGTTTACCCCCAAACAATAAACTTTCCTTAATCGTTGTAGGAATAAAATTAAAAGATACTCTTCCTGGTTGGATCTTTCTCGTTTCTGAAGGCAAATACATACGGCGTGCCCTTGATTTAATATAAATTTTAGCCAAAATCAACTTATCTTTCAAATAAATGAGGGGAATAAGATATCTCTATTTATCAAGAGCACATTTTGTATAATAGAGATCATCTTTATATGTAAAGAGTAAAATTTTGTATACTTCCATAACGCTCTCTATTTTAGGCTTTAGCTCTTCATTTTATTTTTTCAAGAAAATATTTATTGATTCTCCTCATTTTTTATTTAGCATTTTTGTATGTAAATGACCAATCAATTCAATATAATTGAAATAATTTAAGAAATAAAGTATTAAAATCTATAACTTATTAAATTAAATCATTATAAAGTAAAAATAAAGAATGAGTTTGACTCCCCAAAATTGGACCCGAAGACATAGAAAGAGTTAAAACTCAATATTTAAGATCCATTTGAAAATTAGAACATTGTGAATTTTACTTTTCTCAATTTAATAAAATTTTTAGATAAAAGTCCAATTAATAACTTCATGGGCCTGTTTGACATGAATTTTGCTTTCTATAGAAAAGTTTTCTTAGAAAGTTATCTTAATTTTTATTTAAAAACTAATTTATAAAAGATCTTATTCCAAAGTATTTTTAGAGGAAACACATTAGATTAACTTCCTTTAAAAGTCTGTATAACTAAAAGAAGTACTTTCATAAGCTTAGTCAAATGGGTCCAGATATAATTTTTTGTCTCAATTCATTTTAAATTCTTAGAAGTCATGTTAAATGGGTTCTATATGTATTTCCAAAACAATTATAAATATTCACATAAGATAAAAATAAAAATTATCTTATAAACAATTTAACTTTTCAATAGTTTAAAGTTGGATATCTATTTAGGTTTAAATTGTAATGCTTATCGAATTGCTTTGTCTAGAGCAATGATAAGATCACCATATGACTCGAATGTGTTGAATTTCACATGTGAGATTTAATTAAATCATTTCCGTCAAAATGAATTAAATTTCAGTAAGTGTTTTTCGTCTCTTATTTAGCACGACGTTATTAGCTCTCTTTCTAGGTTTGAATCATTCATATTTCTGTGGATGAATTACTATTGGCAGAACAATTCTAACTTGAGATACTCTACAACTTGGCATGAAAATAATTATTTAAGACTGAAATTTGTATTGCGAGTTTGTGCAAAAGCATGCTTTGGTATAGAGAAGCAAGTGTTGGAAAACCATGGACATGAAGATGTAAGCACCAAATGGAATAGATTGGCAAGATTTGAACACATTTATGAACGTTGGCCTCAAACAATATTTGCTCCTTCTCCAAATGCTTTCAAAGATTCGAATGGCGAAGAGTTAGTATTTATCGAGCCTACAGAAAGAAAACTAAAGCATGATCAGTTCTTTCAAAATGAACTTAAAGAAAAGCTGAAAGTGTTTGACATGATCCCAATGGTTTGGGGTAACAATATGGATTTCTTGTGTTAATTCATTGATTGGGAATTGAATACTAACTCATATTTACAGTTATCCAATAATACACCATGAAATCAATCCAACTATTCATAAAAAGTTGACATACATTCATCAAAAGACACCAAAAACAAACCAGAAAACCAGCCATAATAGTTAGTTTTCATTCATGTTATCGCGTGGCTTGAGGTAGAAAGCCT